GCAGCCTCGACCTGCTGGGCAGCCTCGACCTGCTGGGCTCCGGCGATCCTTCCGCCTCAGCCTTCCAGTAGCCGGAATTACAGGCATGCGCTACCACGCCCGGCTGATTTTTTGATTTATTGTAGGGATGAGGTCTCGCCTGCCCAGGCGGGTCTTGAACCCGCGGGCTCAGGCAATCCACTCACCTCAGCCTCCCAAAGGCGCGGGATTATAGGCTGAGCCACCAAGCCCGGCTCCTATCGTACCTTAAAGTTTAAAATTTGCATTGGATATTTAGCGATGAGGTAGGATCTAATTAATTTTTTCCTTTTTTTTTTTTTTAATGTCTGCGTCTTACTCTGCCACCCAGGCTGGAGTGCAGTGGCACATTCATGACCACCTCAACCTCAGCCTGTTGGGCTCAGGCGATCCTTCTGCCTCAGTCTTCCTAGTAGCTGGAACCACAGGCATGTGCATGTTCATGGCCACCCAGTGTCGACCCGCTAAACTCAGACGATCCTTCCAGCTCAGGCTTCTAAGTAGCTGGAACTACAGGTGTGCTCTACCACGCCTGGCTATTTTTTTATTGTAGTGATGAGGTCTCACCAAGTTGCCAGGGCTGTTCTTGAACCCACGGGCTCAGGCAATCCTTTCACCTCGGCCTCCCAAAGTGCTGTGATTACAGCCTTGAGCCACCCATTTCTTATAAAGGTTTATCTGAGTTGCATTTCAAGTGCTACAGAAATGTTTACCACTTAAAAAAAAAATTACTGGGACTTCCTTGGAAATGAAGGGAGTGGCAGCTCACCCAGACCTAGGGCACTCAAGGCAGCTCTCAGCCTGTCTGTTAATTTGTTTTTGTGGCAACCTATATCCCAAAAGTGCTATGATGGCACCAGGTTTTGTTCGTTTTTGAGTTGGTGTCTCACTCTGTCACCCAGGCTGGAGTACAGTGGCACGCTCACGGCCGGCCGCTACAGCCTCGATCTGCTAGGTTCCGCCCATCCTTCGGCCTCAGCCTTCCAAGTAGCTGGAACTACAGGCGCATGCCACCTAGACCGGCTAATTTTTTAAAATTTTATTGTAGAGAAGAGGGCTCGCCAAGTTGCCTAGGCTGTCTCGAACCCTGGGCTCAGGCAATTCCCTCACCTCGTCCTCCCAAAGTGCTGGGATTACAGGGGAGAGCCACTGTGGCCGGTATTTTTTTTGCTTTCTTTCTGAGTTGGGGTCAGGCTGGAGTACAGTGGCACTCAAGGCCATTGCAGTCTGGACTTCCTGGGTTGAGATCATCCTTCCGCCTCAGCCTCCCGAGTAGCTGGGACAAGCGGCGCGCGCCATAACGCCCGGCATATTTGTGGGGGGGGGTCGGGTAAGGCTGAGGTCTCGCCATGTTGCCGAGGTTGGTCTGGAACTCCTGGGTTCAAGCGATCCTCCCACCTTGGCCTCCCAAAGTGCTAGGGTTGGAGGAGTGAGCCACCGCGCCGGGCTTGTTTCTGTATGTTTTCCATTCCACTCCCCTGCCTTGCTGCCTTCAACTGATAATCAGACACGTGTCTGGTAAAACTCTCAGGTCTATGTCAAGGCCATTGGTGGCCATCTGTCGAAGGCCACGGAGAAAGGCACTTTCAGGGGTTCCGGGTGAGGCGGCGCACAGGTCGGCATGGAATGACAGTGGCAGCTTCGCTTCCTTCGCCGGCAAACCTTCCAGACCTCAGGCCCAGCCTCCACCCCGCCGTCCCCAGGCCTCGCAGCCCGTTTCCGGCGCCCTCCCTCCCGACCGGCCGGGCGAGCGCAGGGAGACCGGAAGCCCCGGCTGGACCTCAGCACCGCGGAGCCGGCGGCGCGGCGCGCCCGCCCCGGTGCATTGTGGGGATTGTAGTCCGGCTTGAAACCCGCCCGCGGCCCCAAGTCCCGCGACACCGCCTCTCCTCCAAACCCGGCCCCTCGGCCTCTCTCCGGCCTCCGCCGGGTCTCGCGGGCCCGGGCGGGGCTCTCCGGCGCATCAGCGGATTCTCCCCGGGGGCGGAGGCGGAAACCGAGCCCGCTGGGAGGAGGCTCGGCGTGCTCGTGACGCTCGCTCTACATGCTCGTGCGCTTCGCCACCGGCGCGCGCGAGCCCCGGGTCCCCGCGGCGGGCAGCAGCGGCGGCGTCGGTGGAGCGCGGAGGGGGCGGAGGGAGCCCGCGGCGGCGGCGGCGGCGGCGGCGACAGCGACATGGCGGAGACCGTGGCGGACACCCGGCGGCTGATCACCAAGCCGCAAAATCTGAACGACGCCTACGGGCCGCCCAGCAACTTCCTCGAGATCGATGTGAGCAACCCGCAGACTGTGGGGGTCGGCCGGGGCCGCTTCACCACCTACGAGATCAGGGTCAAGGTGAGGCCGCCTCCCCCTCTTCCCCCGCAGAAGTCCCTTCCCCCGACCCGAGAGCGGGGTCCCCCCGGGCCACCACAGGTCGCGAGGCCCCTGCAGGGCAGTGGGGCGCGCCGTCGGCGGGCCGGGGTCGTGAGCCAGGGCCTCCCCTTGGGGCAGGGCTCACGTGGGGGCTGCGGAGCCGGCTCCGCGCAGGCCCTCGGGAAAGGTGCTCGAACGAGAGGGCGTGGGCCGAGCGCCGCCGGCCCCTCTGCAGCTGATGCTGGAATGACACTTGAGTTGGGAAGGGTAGATCTTTCGAGAACCACCGCCCTTCCCCGGGAAGGAAGCGGGATGTCGACGGAGGTAGGGGGCTCGCGCAGAGTGGGCGCCTTTCCCCGCGTTTATCTTCCTGGCGCCTTCCCGGGGTGACCGAGCCCAGCGGGGGGCTCCAGGCCCTTCCCGGGCCACCAAACCCATGCACTTCTTGTGCTCTGCTGGACAGAACTTAAGGGGTGGTCCCAAAAGCCTGGCATATCGGGGATGGAGCTGGGCCAGGCGGTTGGGCGTGGGTGACCTTGGCTTTTCGGGCCATCGCCGCGCTCCAGGCTGAGAGGTGGCACCTGCCGCCGCCGTCCCAAAGGACCCTTGGCTTGAGAGAAGCCCGTTCTGGACTGGTCTTGCTCTCTCCATTTCGAGAGCTGCACTCCACTGAATGAAGGAAGTGGCCGGAGTAAAACACACACAATCTCATAACTGGTATTTGGTGCCGATGAGTAATTCAGATGATGTGAAAAACGCTACTTGAGAAATAGTGCTTCACTTTCACCGTGGAGTTCAGGATTAAAGAACTTGCCGGTGTGTGGAAGCATCTTTAAAGATTAATGACAGAAAACTAATCCAGCTGTTAAAGACGACAACAAATTATTAAAAATTAAGCGTAAGATAATTTTGGCTTTAGAGTAATCAACATTTACATAACAAGTTACCATTAACATTTGAGTGGAGTATTTTCTCCTTATGCACTGTTGTGTGTGTGGTAGAAAAAAACATGCAACAGAAAATTACCATCCTAACCACTGTGAAGTGTACAGTTCAGTATTTACATGGTTATGAAACTTTCACATGGTTGTGAAACTTTAAGGACTTTTAAAAAATGATTCTTAATGTAGTTACTGTGACTACAGAAGAAGTTAATCACCAAATTTTAAGACATAAAGCCCACAGGTTGGTCACTCTGATCACTCTGGTCTCCCCGTGGACGTGGACAATGTGAGCAGTGATTTTAGGGACCCTCCAGGCTCCAGCACCCCTAGGGAAATATAGTCTCCTGTGAGCCTAGCAGAAAAGTGAGGTTTTTTTTTTTAAACTTTTGGAATGATTTTGGATTGACTGTAATATATAGCAGATGGCTCACTAAGAACTTCCTCTTTTGCCCTTATTCACCAGTGTGGTTTTTTTTCCTTGTGCTAAAACAGAACTTGGTATTCCTGTTTCTAAACTTCCATGGCAAGTACTTCCTGTCACACAATTGAATTGGAATCTCCTGCCTCCACTTCCTCTACTTAATGACTTAATGTTTGTCTTGCTGAGGGCATTGTATTCAACAGACTCAAGTAATAAGTTAATCCTCTTTTATACATCTGATACCTTATTACCAAATAGTAGATGTGACACTTAAGCATAAATTGTTTTTGGTGTAATCATTTGCATGTTAAAGGAAATAATCCTTTTTAAGAGTGATTAATGAGTTAGAGAATGAACAAATTATAAACCTACTCTGGTTTTGTTTTTTTGAGTTAGAGTCTCACTGTGTTTGCCCAGACTGGAGTGCAGTGGCCCAAACATGGATCACCGCAGCCTCTTCCTCCTGGGCCCAGGTGATCCTTCTGCCTCGGTCTCCTGTGACCATGCCCAGCTAATTTTTTTTATTTATTGTAGAGACTAGTTCTTGCCAAGTTGTTCAGACTGGTCTTGAAGCCCTGGACTCAGGCAATCCTCTCGCCTCCGCCTCCTAAAGTGCTGGGATTACGGGTATGAGTCACTGCACCCAACCTGGTTTGTATTTTTATATAAACCCAGCTCATTGAGTGTTAAGGACTGTTACAGTAATAAATGCAGGGGTTCTATAAGAAAACATAATTGAATTTTTAATGCTTATGAAATGCCTTTGGGTTTCTCTTAGTATGTAACCGGTTAACTTAAAACTCAGGACACCAAGTAGTAAGACATTAAGCCTTATTTAAGCAGCATATGATTTTTTTAGAATAATTACAGTCCTGTATTAAGATAGAGTGGCCATAAGATGAATAGGTTGGTTATTCTGTAATCTTGTTTCTTATTTTCCAAACTGTTGCTCTCTTCATAGCCCCTGCTGCCTGCATTTTGCTATTGACACATGGAAAACCATTTTATGTTCCAGAATTTGGGCCCTTAAACTCTCTTATAGTTATTCTCTAATTCTGGTCTTGAGAAAAATGTTCAATTTTACAGGATCTGATTGAAATTACTCTAATTCATAGGGTAATTTTATCTGGATGGTGGCACTTTAGAATACAAGTTTCCCAATCTCCATTTATCTTTTGGTTTGAGAATAGTGTTTAAGACTATTAGGATCACTTGATTAGTATCTCTGGGCTTTTGAAAATAATTGGCACAGTGCTAATGTTTTTAAAAATTGTTCTAATGGATAGGTACAGCAGAGAGCACCATAAATGATGAAAGGTTTGGGAAAGCTCAGGGTCTAGGATTATTTAGGCATATTAAAGAGAAGGCTGAGAGGGAAATTTAGTTACTGCTTATGAAGTTTGTGCTATAATATAACTTTAATTTTCTGAAGATTTTAAATTAAGATCCACTAGTGTACCTAGAGACAATTATTCTGAACAGGAATAGAACTAAGGGTTTTTCCTAAGCTCTGAAATAGTCCTGGATCCACAGAATAGATTTATCATTTACTAACATCGTAAGGTACAGAATCGAAGCTCCTCTTCCTCTCTATGAAATAGTCATGTTAATATTAGTACCTACCTCTGAGGACTCACCAAGACAGGCATATAAATTCCCTTAGCATAGTGACTGGCACATAATAGGCACTCCAAAGGCAGCTCTTTATAAAAACAGGTATTTTATTCTCTAAAATAAAGCTTAGAGTCAACTACATCTTCTGTGTGTTAATACACAGTTGAGTTACTAAAAGTGTTGGATTTCCTTATCAAGAGACCTAGTTACCATGGAGATATAACTTTCCTGAGCAAGTATGGTATGAAAGGAAGCCAAGCCGGGCTCGGTGGCTCAGCCTGTAATCCCGCCTTTGGGAGGCTGAGGTGAATGGATTGCCTGAGCCCGCGGGTTCGAGACCCACCTGGGCAGCGAGACCTCATCTCTACAATAAACCAAAAAATCAGCCGGGCTTGGTATCGTATGCCTGTAATTCCAGCTACTCGGAACGCTGAGGCGGAAGGAGCTCTGGAGTCCAGCAGGTCGAGGCTGCGGTGGCTGGGAGCGGCCACTGCACTTCAGTCTGGGCGACAGAGTGAAACTCCCACTCAAAAAAAAAAAAAAAAGAAAGCTGTCTTATTCAGTACTTGACCAGTAGCCTTTTTTTTTTTTGAGTTGGAGTCTCACTATTGCCCAGACTGGACCTGCTGGGCTCAGGTGATCCTTCCACCTCAGCCTTCCAAGTTGCTGGAACTACAGGCGCATGCCACCATGCCTGGCTAATTTTTTGATTTATTGTAGAGATGAGGTCTCGCCAGGTTGTCCTGGCTGGTGCCTATAATCCCAGCACTTTGGGAGGCAGAGGCGAGAGGATTGCCTGAGACCATAGGTTCGAGACCGGCCTGGGCAACTTGGCGAGAAATTAAAAAAATTAAAAGAAATTAAAAAAATTAGCTGAGCATGGTGGCACAAGCCTGTAGTTCCAGCTACTTGTAAGGCTAAGGCAGAAGGATCGCCTGAGCCCAGCAGGTCGAGGCTGTGATAGCCGTGAGAGCATGCCACTGCACTCCAGTCTGGGCGACAGAGTGTGACTCCAGCTAAAAAAAAAAACAAACCAGTATATTAAAACCTTTATTATCTACAGCCTAGCAGTGGGGCATCCTCAAGTGTCCAAACCCTTTGAAGGAATGTTGGCACCCTTGAGACCTGGGGTCTGCCCTCACTAATTCACAGGAGGTAAGATGCACCCAGGAAGAATGGGCAGCTGAAAAGAGCTATTAAATTCTGTGCTATGATAAGGTCATTTGGAGCAAAAGTGTGTTACCAGTTGGCTAACGGTGCTTATAGAAGGCGAGCCTTTTCCTGTATATGTTACAACTGAAAACGAAGGCATTTGTCACTTGAGTATCTATCATGTGCAAGGCATTGGACTATAGATAGAAAATTAGACGTTGGAGGTAACTGAGTGGAGGAGTTCAATTTCCTGTTTTGTAGGTGTAGAAGCTGAGGACCCTCTTGATCCTTGCCTCCTCTCTGCCCTTTCCTGGTTTTATGCTGCAGGCCTGGACTACTTGCATCTCCCAGTTAAGCTGAATCCAGGCCTTTGCACACACTTCCTCCTCTGGTAAAACAGCCTTCCTCCATTAGCCTCCTCTGGTCACCATACTTATCCTGCAGGCCTCAGCCTTAATGTCCCCTTTTTTAGAGATTTTGCTGATCTCTTGACTCTAGGCTGGATTTCCTTCCTGTGTGCCCTGAAAGCCGTATTAGGATTGAATTGGTTTGCTTGTCTGTGACTTCCTGTATCTCCCATTGTAAATGTCTTAGTGGACAGTGACTTATAATCACCCTTACTCAACTCCCAACACTGCTTGGCACATAATGGACACTTACCAATAAATGAAGTCAGTAAATGGCTCACACCTTTAATTCCAGCACTTTGGGAGGCAGAGGCAAGAGGATTGCCTGAGCCCAGCAGTTCAAGACCAGTCTGGACAACTTGGCGAGACCTCGTTTCTACAGTTAAAAAAAAAAAATAGCTGGGTGTGGTGGCGCACGCCTGTGGTTCCAGCTATTTGTAAGGC